ATGTGTTGAAACTTAAGTCCTTATAGAATATGAAGAAAAAGTATTTAGAAAATAGGAATAAACATGTATTTTTACACAGAAATTTAGAAATCTAACCATATACAACATTTATCAGGACAGTCTTGTGGCTTTTTTTTTCTTTTAATTGTGTCTCTTTTTTCATTTACTACTCATTTAAAAAAACCTTTTACTTGAGAGACAGTATGGTAATAATTGGTATGTCATGACAAGAAGTATGTATTTAGAAGACCAGAATGACAGGCATTCCAAGCGTGACCCTTCTATTACACATTGCTACCTTCAGTGCAGTTGCTTAGTTCACAGGTATCAGCATATATAGTTACTCAGGTTTAGAATCCTACCAATTGACTGCTAGTTTCAAAGACCTGCTGATGTTTGTCAGGATCATTGCCTTGCCCATCTTGTGCATATGAGTGTATGGCTTTGTCCCTGTCCTGTTTCCTAGCTTTTCTCATTGCCCTCTCCTCATTGTCCAGTCCTCAAGTTCTTGCTTTCCTTTTAGTCCTGTTGCACCTTTCTATTTGTATTTCTTCTTTTGATTTCTCATACTAGGGAGACTATACGATATTTACAAACGTGGGTCTGGTTTATCTGGATCATATAATAGTTCTGTTTTAAATTTTTTAAAAATAGTTTTCATAGTATTTTCTATGACTACCAATTTATGTTACCATCATAGTTCAAAAAATTTCCCTTTTCTCCATAGCCCTCAACATTGTCTTTTCTGATAGTAGCCATTTTAATAGATTTGAGGTCATAGCTAATTGTGTGTGTGTGTGTGTGTGTGTGTGTGCATGAGTGTGTGTGTGTGTGTGTGTGTGTGTGTTGTGGTACCAGGGATTGAACTCAGGACCTTGCTCTTGCCAAGCAGGCACTTATGCTGCTGGGCTATCTCCCCGGTCACTCTAATTGTAGTTTTGATTTGTGTTTCTCTAATTATTGGCAATGTTGAGTATCTTTACATATGACTCTTGACCATTGCATATTTTCCTTGCAGAAATGTCAATAAAGTCTTTCACTTATCTTTAAAATCAGGATTTCATGTTGTTACTAGAATGTAGTGCTTTTATATACTCTGAATATTAACTCCTTATTAACTGTATGATTTGAAAATATTTTCTCCCTTTCCCCAGATTGGCTTTCATGCTGTTAATTCTACTTTTTGATACAGAAGAGGTTTAAATTTTTATGTAGCCAAATTTGTCTATTTTTACTTCTGTTGCTTGAACTTTTGGCATCATATCCTCCAAATCACTACCACATCAAATATCATAAAACGTTTTCACTATATTTTCTCCTAAGAGTTTTATAGTTTTAGTTCTTATGCTTATTTTTTGGTGGAAATTAATTTTATATTTGATGTTAGACTTTCAAGTTTCCAAAAAATTCTTTTGCATGTAGGAATCAAGTTTCTTAGCATCATTTGTTGAAAAAGCTATCATTCCCCTAACTGAATGCTGACTCACAGTTTTAAGAGATTCAGATCATAGTAAGTGACATCATAGCAGAAATATTAAAGAAGGGTATGGCAGAGCCAAGATGCTTAATTCATAGTAACTAGGAAGCAGAAAAATGCCAAAGAGGAAGGAGCAAGGGATCAGATATACCCCCCGAGTTCACACCTCCATGACCTACCCAGACGTACTAAGGGTGTGTTCTTCACTAATTCCTTTGGTGTCTCTTAAGCCAGTCATGCTGCCATAATTAAAATGAACCACCACATTCCAACCCTCACTAATTTGACATCCAAACACACTCCTGAGACCACACTTACACTCTGATTAACATGACAAGATCTCAATAATTTCCTAACATGGTGTAGCTTACCTAGCACACAGCCACAAACACAGTAACTCCTGCCTCAAGTCTCAACAGATCCAGAACCTTCCAAGTTCTTCTGAGATGCGAGGCAAACTCTTTGCTGTGAACCGCTATACAGATAAAAAGCAAGTTCAATATTCCCAAGGTAAAGTGGCCAAGCAAACATGGGCCTGTTCTGTGCAGGACAGATAGAAGAGAGGAACAGAAATCATGGGATCAAAGCAAGCGTAAAGCCCACCAGGGAAAACATTGCTTCCTATTTTGTCTATAGCAGAGTTCAGAGTATTGATTTAATGTATTTTTATTGTTGATGTGATGGCTTTCGTTGTTTTTTTCCCCTCATTGTGATATTCTGCTACTATGCTGTCAAAAATGTAAATGTTAAAGATCCTTAGCCCTCTTTCACCAACTTGTAATTTAAAAGCCAAGAGATCATTTTATCCCTGAACATCCTTAACATGGTTTCAAGATACTTCAAATCCATTTTTGACTGCATATTGCACGAGCCACCTGGGTACACCCCTGAATATGACAGCATGGTGTTCTATAGGATTTATCTAAATATTACAACATCATTGATTACTAACTTCTCAGAAATTAGAGCAAAGAACTAGTTTCCCCAAACACTTCTCCCTTCTGATTGACAAAAATTCTCAACAAAGTGAAGAAAGCTTTTACACTCTTAAACATCTTATTCCTTCAGCCACTGTCAAGAGAACCCCTCACTTATGATAAATTCATAATCTCTTAGAGGAAAGTTTTATTATTATTATATCTTTTTCTGACACTTACTGCCTTATCTTGGCCTTTGGATATGTATATCCATTATGCCACATCAACAAATCGAAATAAAGGAATAAGCAAATGTTAATTTACTGGTTTAGTTTTCTAACCATAATCAAGGATCTGAAGAAATGGACCATGTTAAGGCTTAAACATGAAGTGTAACACAATGACTTTGGTATTGAGAGCTTGACTGCCAATGCAGCAGTATTCACAAGTGAAGCCTACAGAGGTGACTGGATCCTAAGAGTGGCTGTCTCTCTGTCTCTGTCTGTGTCTGTCTGTCTGTCTGTCTGTCTGTCTGTCTGTCTGCCTGCCTGTCTGTCTATCTGTCTCTCTTATCTCTGTCTTTCTGTCTCTGTCTGTCTGTCTGTCTGTCTGCCTGCCTGTCTATCTGTCTCTCTTTTCTCTGTCTCTCTGTCACTGTCTGTCTCTCTCTCTCTCTGTCTCTCCCCCCCAACCTATTCTCCAGTTTCTAACTGACAGGATGAATAACTGTCCTTTGCCTTATGACGAGATGTTTCTTGTCCCAGTGTCAGTCCACCCTGGACGGAAGCCTCCACAAGTATAATGCAAAGAAATGCTTCCTCATTTAAGATGTTTTTCTTAGGCATGTGGTCACCATGATGAAAATCTGACTGACACAGAAAAATGGGATCAGTGCTGTAACTATAACTGGCTATGGAGTTCAGAAACTTCTGGAACTGGTTTGTAGGAAGAATCAGGAAAAATTTAGAAAAGCAAGATAAAAAGTTATGATAAGAAAAGTGGAGCTTACTGGAAAATTTTATTGAGGACTCAGAAGACCAGATATGAGCAGTGCCAGTCAAAGCAGTGCATGTAAGAGAAGAATGAGGACTCCTTTGAAAATTGAACTAGAGACCTTTGTGTTATTCTGGCATAGAATTTGCTATATTTTGTCTATGCTCTAAAACCCTGACTGAGGCTAAGTTGTACAGTCACAGATTAATTCATCTGCTAGAGGAAATTTCAAGGCAGCAGCTGTTCACATGATAACATGGATTTTTCTGGATAACTTTAGACTAATTAATTGACTAACTTTCTTTGCAGTGCTAAGATTAAATCCAGGGTTTAATGTGCACCAGTCAAGTATTCTGCTATTTGGCTTAATCCATATCCATTATTTTAGCCAGAATTATAGTGACAGTTGGGAGCAAAGTGCGGAGCCATAAGATTTGAAAAACTTGCAGCTTGGCCATAGAAGAAACACAAGTAAACCTGAGGCAAAAGGAGCTGTAGTTGCTGAAGAGATGAAGCACCATCAAAAGGAAACCAAGTACTTTGCACCAGGAAAACAGGAAAAATGTCATGAGAGCATCTCAAAAATTTTCCAAACCCAGTCATGGCAGGCTTAAGAGTGTAAAATTGTTTTAAAGACTTTGATTTCAACAACTTTACACATTTTTTGACATCTTTATTTGGAAGTCATATCTTGAAATCTTTGTTTTGAAGATAAGAAAGTCCTGGTGTGTGCTATTCAGCCAGGCCTGCCAAGAAAGTGTTTCCCTGGTTCAGCCATCTAATTTAGCACACAGAGACTGCCGCAGGCATGGTCCAAGGGGGGAGACTATTACTTACACTGGTGGTAGACCATGGCATCATCCATGTAATGCAGGTTTTGCAGGCATGCAGAATACAAAATTAATGGGGTCATGGAGGCTTCTATAAATATTTTAAAGAAAAGCCTAGCAGACCAGACAGTGTCCTTCTAGGGAGCCTATAAGACGGTGATGTGTCAAGTTGTAGGAAACAGCTCAAAGTTGCAATGGCAAGCTAAGCAAGTTTAAGATACCCACAGTGCAGAACAGTGGTTGAGGAAAGCCATAGGCAGCAAGCAGAGCCATGGCCTCAAGGGAGGAACCACATGGGTGGCAACCACCAAGGCCATAGAGACAGCACTGCCTGAGCCCTCTGGAGCTGAAATCCCATCATCATAAGCCCTGGATACTAGAAATACAGCTCTAGGATTTAATGTGTTTCCTGCTGGGTTGGGTCTTTGGTTCAGTTATTTCTTTTCCTCCCTTTTTACCTTTTGGAAAGGGAATATCTAACCTGTGATATTGTATCTTGGAATATGTGACTTGTTTTTTTTTCTCGTTCTACAGGGATAGTGCTAAAAATTTGTTTTGAATTTTAGAGAAGGCTTGGACTTGAACTTCCGAGCAATGCTGGAACTGAGAAGACTTTGGGAACTCTGGGAAGTAGACTAGATGCATTTTATAATGTGAAACAGATATAATCATTTGTGGACCAACGATGGAATATTGTGGCTTAAGTATGAAACTGTGAAATGTTCCCTGAAGATTCATGTATTGAGGGCTTGAGCCCCAGTGCAACAGCGTTCAGGGATGGAGCCTATGAAAGCAACTAGAAGACGAGGACACTAACCTCATCACTGGATTAATCCACTAGCTGAATGGCCTGAAAGGAACGAGGTATATTTGAAGGAAGCGAGCCACTGGGACATGTTTTTGAAGGATATATTTATTATCATCCTCTTTTCCTCTCTCTCTTCTCTTAGTCTTGAAGTAAGCAACTTTCCTTAGCCATCATTTCTACCATGATGATTCTGCCTTGCAGTCGACTCACCACAATCTGAAACCATGACACCAAAAAGATCTTAAGGGATCTTTTCTCCTTTGAGATTTTTCTTTGTTTAGATATTGGCCCCAGAGATGGAAAGGTGACCAAAAAGCAACTGTTTGCATGTTTGTTTGTTTGTTTGTTTGCTGTGATATTAACGATTGAACATAGGGCTTTCATACTGAACTACATACCCAGTCTTCTTTAGCTTTTTGACACATGATCTCACTAAGTCTCCACATCTTCCAGCCTGGGCTTGAACTTTCAATACTTCTGATCCATGGCCTTACTAAACCCCACCTCCTATTTCTGTCAGTTTCCAATAATGTCATCAGATTATGATCAGAGATTAAGCCACAATTGAAGCTAGAACCTTCTTCAAATATTTCCTCATAACCAGGGGCAACCATGCCTTCAGCACCATGAACCTTTTAGGAGGCACATCCTGTCCAAGCCACAGAAGATATTTTAAACAAACATGCAGGGCAGAAGTCCAAGTTTAAGATTCTAAGGGATTTGATTTCTTGTGAGATCTTGTTTGCTGGCCTTCTAGCTATGCTCTTATCTGGTCTCTCCTTGCTACATACAGGGAGAGACAGAAGTGGGAAGGAAGGAAAGGGGGAGGGAGAAACAAGGAGGGAAGAAAAACTGAAAAAGAGAGTGAGAGAAAAACACTATAGCTTTCTCTTCTCACAACATCACTAGTTCTATTGCATAAAGTTTCCCAATCTTATAACTTTACCTCCTAACTTATAACTGTACCACTCTGTCTAAAAATATATTCACATAGGTCAAAGGACTTCAACATATGAACAAAGAGTACATTTAGTGTATTGTTGTAATACATTATTTTTTGGACATTAAATATTGAAAGAGTGATGATAGTGGTAGTAGGGTGAATATGATAAAAAGAATTTTACACAAAATTTTATTTGTTCCTTCTCAGTGTGTGAGGAAATTGCCTTGAACTGCAAAAGAGTCTATTGGAAAACAGGCAGATGAGTTTTCAAAGTTCATGTGCTAAATTGTCACACTGCTGGATTTCCATGCCCACTTGCTATGATACCTTTAATTTTCTGTCAAAGAGGTATCTAAATAGGTTAGAAAAATCAAAAAATTAAATTAGTTCTAATTTTTTTGTTTTTAAATTTTATTTTGTTTTATTTTGAAAAGCAAAAGCAAATAGCAGAAACAAAGACAAAAACAGGGTAATATCCAACAATACACATATTACAGATTTTCAAAACAAGAATAGTTAATTAGGGGCTGGAGAGATGGCTCAGTGGAATAAGCGCTTCCCTGGCAAGCACAAGGGCCTGAGTTCAATCCCCAGTTCCGCCAAAAAAAAAAAAAAAAAAAAAAAGAATAGTTAATTAACAATGGTTGTTATATTGTCTATTTTTATTGTAAAACCTGTTACTCAAATGAACAGATCTAGTTATGCAAAATTGGACAAAATTGAATATTAACACTTGCTTTGAAGAAACCTTATTTTTTTCTTGTCTTTTTTACTTTCTTTTAAAATTTATTTTCATGAGAGTATAGTAATAATTGATAAGATGTTAGGTATGTTACACAGTTAGAAGATGCAAATTATTCAGCCATGAATTCTGTATTACACATTGCTGTCCTTTATGTAGTCCTTAGATCTCAGTAGTTATAATTCTTATAACCTAATACCTCAAGTTTTGTGTTTTAAAGTAAAAATTACTCATGCAACTGACCAGCAACACTTGAACTAATATTCAAAAAACCAGAATATTTGATTTGAACTTTATGATGACAGAGATGTGAGAACTACCTGATAAGATATTTTAAAGCAGCTCTTAACATTTGCTCATTAGTCTAAAATATGGCCAAAGGAGCAGCCACACTTGGGGAAAGGGTGATGTGCGAACGAAAACCAAATCGACGCTATTATGTGATCTTGCACCATTTTAAGGCTTAAGTTTCTGTTTCCTTAAATTTGTTTCTTGTAAATATCATGGTTACCTCTTTCTTTTTTTATTGAAAGAATGTTTATTTTTTAAAGGACAGTTTCAATAATTAATACATTGTACATTGTTATCTTCTTAGTGGTTATCCATAATACAAGATGCAAACAAGATATCCTGTCGAGACACTATTAGTACAAATCTTTTTTCTCATTGAATTAAGTGAAAGTAGTTGTATATCCATCCTAACTATTCTGCATATACAGGTACAAAATGGTCCTTCCTTTGTATCCCCTTTTTTGTTTTTTCTGTCAGACATGGGTATTCCATTGGCATCTAAATACTATAGGTGAGTGAATTCAGCAAAACAATCCAACACAATCCAGCAGTCCACAATAGTAGTGGGTTATCCACAGAAGTTGTTGACTTGAGCCTTTCACAGCTCAGCATATTAATATGGCTTTACTTTATATACCTCGTTTACTTGACTGACCTTATCAGATACAAAATTTACATTTCTTGTTATATAGGTCTTGCTTTATCTTGGTCTTAACCATCCAGCAGAAAAGTATGAAAACGAGGCATGGTTATTTATTTCGATATCACCCCATGCTTTGTCATAAGACTGCTTGTTCCCTATGTAAAATGTCAAACACCTTTATTTCTTTGTCTCAGGCTAAGCCCATGCTTTGTAGATTTCCTGTAGCTGCACTAAATCATAACAGCACCACCCTCCTAGACCTGGAACTATAATTGTGTAACTGTCTCCCCTGATGCCCTTCGGGTCCATGGTCGTGTACTGGATGCCCACCACGTGCCACCCCAAAAACTTCCTTGTCTCTGCATCTCTACTCTGTGGGTGACTCAATTAAATAAGGCTTTTGCAGCAACAAGGTAAGAGAGGTGCCTTGGGCCAGTTGCAGGAAACTATCCAGAAACTGCATGACCAAGCTTTGATTTAACAAAATTATACTGTGTTCATGTCCCTCCCCTTGATAAAAAAAAAATGCCCTCTGTTATGTATGAACAGCTGTTTTCTAGGATGAAACCTAAGGATTATTTTAAAACTTGAAACATGATGCTTTTGTAGTTGGTTTTAAGTTGTTTCATGGATAGTAAGCACAACTGTCATCTAGTTTTAAGAGAACTGGTGTTTCTTTTAGTTTATTTGTCCTGCTTGTTGTACTGTGAATGACTATGAATCTTGCTTAAGGTTCACTATGATGGCCACTTTTGGGGAGAGAGCTTGATAATAAAAGGTTTTGCCATCTCACTTTAACATGTGCTGAGTATCACTAACTTTTGATAAATAAAACCTATTTTCATACAAAAATTCAACAAATAATAACAGGCATATTTTAAACAAGTAAAAGAAAATAGTCTCAGCAAAGACATAGAACATAAAGCAGACATACGGCGTAAGGAAAGAAGTCATAAAGAACCAAGAAGAAATTTTCAAACTAGAGAAACAAATAAACAAAATACACAACCTAATGGATATATGAAGCATTGAAATGGAGAAAACAAATGTAGATATTAATTAATCTGAACAACAAAAACAAGTAGGCTTCCCCAAATTTGCAGTTTCAATTGGTGCCTATGAAATTATAGCAAAAGGTCTAATGTTAATATAATCAGAGTCCTAGAAAGAGACAAGAAAGAAACAAAAGGTATAAAAAGTGTAGAAAGAAGTCAAGGTCTAATATTCCTGAAATTTTGATAAAAGACATAAACATATTAATTCAAGAAGCTCAAACAATTTTCAATAAGATAAGGTCATGAAATCACCACCAGGGCATATTATGTCTAAACTTATGAAAACTAAAGATGGTAAAAAGGTCTCAGAATCAGGAAGAAGAAGAAAAAGAAAGAAGAAGACGAAGACGAAGACGAAGACGAAGACGAAGACGAAGACGAAGACGAAGACGAAGAAGAAGAAGAAGAAGAAGAAGAAGAAGAAGAAGAAGAAGAAGAAGAAGAAAGAAAGAAAGAAAGAAAGAAAGAAAGAAAGAAAGAAAGAAAGAAAGAAAATAAAAATATGAAAAAACAATAGATTCTTCCTCTCTTAAATTTTGTGAATTATTTTTTACAGTTGAAAATAAAATTACAATACTAATGTAGACTTAAATGTATACAGAGGCAGTTCTTCAATTATATTTGGAGAGGATTAAAAGGACATAAAAAGTGACACATCTACACTTAACTCAAACTGATAAACATTGATATCATTAGATTGTGAAGAGTTATGTATATAATTAATGCCTACTGAAGTCCTTGGAAAAGATGTACAAAGATACACACATGTGAACATTGTTGATAAATCTAAATAGAATGCTAAAATGTTCACATAGCTCATAGGAAAATAAACTAGAGAAATTAATGAGAGAACAAACAACAAACCAAATAAATGTCAGATTTGAATTCTAACTTTATTTATTTATTTAGCTTATTTATTTATTTGGTTGTTACAGATTCTCTCTATACAGCTGGGACTTAAAGTGATATTCCTGCATTTAGGCTCCCCACTCCTGGGATTACAGGCATGCACCACCACTACGGGGCTCTGGTCTGCTCTGCCCACTCTGGGGACTGGGCTGCCACAGCATGATACACCAGGGATGGAACCATGGTCTCTGCATTTGTTAAGCTTACCTAAACAGGTGCTTTAGTCTGCTGAGCTATCTCACCAGCCGCTTGAATTCTAACATATTAGTAATGATATCAAATATAAATGTTCTGAACAAAAACACTCAAGAAACAGAAATCAGCAGTATGGAGTAAAAGCAAATAAATCAACCATGACCCAAAGATACATTGTCTGTAAGAATCTGTCTTTCCCTCTCTCTCTTTCTCTCTGTCTCTCTGATGGAAAAGACGTGTCCTGCAAACTGAATCAGAAGAAGATGGAAATGGTTGTATTGTTATGAGTAAACTTTAAAGCAAAGAAATGATTTGGGACAGAGTTGATACACATTCTTAATGATGGGTCAGTGTGGCAAGCATGCATCCTTGTCCCTATTCACCAAGCAAAACACTGAGATACATGTGGAGCAAAATCTGATAGAAGAGAAAGAAGCAGACCAATTGACAACTACATGTGAATTCCCCCTCTCAATAATTAATAGAATAATTATTCAGAAATCCAGCAAAGATAGAGAAGAACACAATCACACTCTCAAAAATAGGATCTAATCAATGTTTGTGGAACACTCCAGCCAACAATAGAACACACATTCCTTTCAAGAATTCTAGGAGCATATATGAACTAGATCAAGTTTTTGGCCATAAAAGAAACTTCAACAAATTTAAAAGAACTGTAATTATGCAGACTATAACTATATATAAATATATATATTGAGGTTTGGAAAATATAAACATGCAAAATTTATTGGAAACAACTAAAGCAAAAGGGAAGTAGTTTAGTACTAGGTACCTAAAACAAGAAGAAATGTCTCTCAAACCTGTTACATGAGGTACCAGTATAATTAACATAATTTATTCAATATTAAATAGATATTTTGAATATCCTTGTATTACTAAAAATATTTGGGTCGAGATGGATTTATCAGAAAAGTCTACCAAAGTTTTATTTTTTATTTTTATTTTTATTGAGAAATAAATACGAATGAGACAGTTTCACAGCTGATTAATAGGACAGTTTCGATAATCAATACACTGTACATTGTTATCTTCTTCGTGGTTATCCATAGTACAAGAAACAGACAGGATATTCTGTCCAAACACTGTTAGTACACCTCTTTCTTCTCATTGAATTAAGTGAAAGTAGCTGTAAATTTATCCTAACTATTTTGTATATATAAATACAAAATGATCTTTCTTTTGTATCCTTTTTTTGGTCCTGTCAGAGGTTAATATTCTATTGGCATCTAAATACTATAGGTGTTTGAATTCAGCTAAACAATCTAACACTGTCTAGCAGTCTTTAATATTAGTGTGCTAGCCTCAGAAGTTATTGACTTGAGCCTTTTACAGCTCATCCTATTATTATGGCTTTACTTTATATACCTCCTTTTTATACTTTTCTGCTGGATGGTTAAGACCAAGATAAAGCAAGACTTATATAATAAGAAATGTAACTTTTGTATCTGATAAGGTCAGCCAAGTACTCTCAGGATTTATCCTGTAGCCCTGTACTGCCCTTTGTACATCTTTTGTCAGTGTCTGTCATGAGGATGAGTCATGGCCATTGCTTGACCAATTTGCTCTCTTTGAAAACTTGAGTAAATGTTTTTTCTCTCCATGTGACTCTCCCCAGGCTCACTTTACATCATTGAACACATTCCTCTGTGACTCCATAATATTCTTGATCAGAAAATTTGGAGCACAACTGAGTTACATGTTGTCACAGTACAGGTTCTCCTATGTCCCGTGTCTTCACTGACCTTGAAAGGCTAGGGCCAAAATGTTGACTAACCTTGCAGCCCTTCCTTTTATCCAATTTTGAACTGCTAACTTAGGTTGTTAACCCTCCAGAAGAGATGCTAATTATTAACATGCAATATATCCAGTTTGGTTTACCCTATCTGTCTAAATATCAAACATTTTGGCATATCATGGAACAGGTATTTTCCATCAAATATTCATAGGTCAAACTTTAAGCCCTTACAGAATATGAAGGAAAAATAATTATATAAAAGTAGAAATAAGCATTTACATATCTTTACAAAGAAATTTAGAAACCTAACCATATATGGAATTGTAGGTCCTTATACTAGGGAGATAATACAATATTTACAGATGTGGGTCTGGTTTATTTCACTAACAAGTATATCTTCAAGTGGCATCCACTTAAATATGAAGGCTTCAAGTTTATCATTCTTTATAGCTGAGTAGTACTCCATTATATAAAAGTACCACATCTTTTTCAAC